CATTCTTCAAGCTGATAGTAAAAAATAGGATAGATACATAAAAATTAAATACTGAAATGAAATAAAAAAGAAAAATACAAAAGAAAAAAAAACAAGGAAAGGAATAACTTTTGATAGCTCACAGTCTCCTTCTTTTCCATTGTCCCTAACCACTAATCACTACTTAAGTATTTCTCCTTTTCTTGAAATATTGGAGACTGTTGCTTATATTTATTTAAATCATTTATTCTGGTATTTTTTAAATAATCTCTTTTTTTTTTCAAAACTATATTGCAAAGCCTGCCTTGCTGTGGAATGCATTCCTGCTTGAATTTAGTTAAACTTCTGTTCTGAATCTATATAGTTAGTTTTGCCATTGCTGCATATTCTCCAGTTTTGGTCTCCCATTCTTGTATATTAAATGCTGATTGAAGTAGATTAGCAATAATGCCAAAGGAAAGTTCTAATTCTACTCTTACCTGGAAGTAACCTCTATTGAGAACAGTTGGGCTTTTTTCCATCTAAATCTGCTTAGTACTAAAGAATAAAGAAGATGCCAGTATATAATCAGCATTGTTTGGTTAAATTAAAATCTGTGGTAAACAGAGCATGTCCAATTTGTTAGTATTGCCAGAATATCTGGGTCATGAAGTTAAATTATTTTCATCTGTTTTCTACCACCTACTAAACCCAAAAAAGCATTGTTTTCTAAATTTTAAAAATATGTTTCTCATTACAGTTTAAGCAGAGAATCAGAGTAACATTCTATTAAAAAATTAGAAGTATAACACGCTAATTAGCCATTTTCACAAGTAAATTAGTTTAATACATATTTTTGTTGGCAAGAAAATTCATCTAAAATCTTGTGAGTGGATGGCCAACATTCAATAGGAGCTACAGAGATAAGTCTATTTGTTTATTTTCAGCTTTCTTCTGTCATAAAACTAAAGGTAATGTATGTTTCCAGAGAGTTCCATATCTAAACATTGACCAAATTTTGTCTACTTACTTTCTTCAGAAATGTTAGTTCATTCTTTATCAAGCCATCTCTCCTAAGACACTTGAGCCTCATGAATAAAATGAATAAATATAAGGATTCAGGAATTTAATACTTCTGTTTTTATATAACAATGGTTTACTTAAGACCTATTTCTTAAGTCTGACTATATTTTTATATATGACTTTAACTTAGTCCCAACTGAGAATTTAATCCCAGAAAAACTAATAGAATGCATTTTAGCTTATTGTTTTTAGTATAAGTTTATATCTAGTAGAGTTGATAACAACATTCAAAAACTGAATGCATGAATTCTTCAATTGGGAGAAAATCCTGGAAAATACTGTATTTAATTGAAAGATCTGTCAGTATAATACAAATTCAAACTTTTTGTAATGACCACTAAAGCATAACCAATATTTATCATTTGGAGACCCAAACTAATTATGTGTTATGGTCTGTTTCAGCTGATTTACATGTGTTACAGTCTGAAGTGCATGCCAGTTAGTGTTTTAATGAAATGCAGCTATAGCATTTCTGAAGCAACAGACATGGTTGCGCCTTGAGCCACTGGCTGCAGTACATATACAGTATTTACCTGAAAATACCAGACCTGCCTTTCTCTTGGATATAAGAATGATGCTGAAGATAGATGATTCTTTAGCCAACATTCCATACTGAGAACCAACTTGGTATGGTAGAGGGCAGTGCAGTACCCATGGTGGGACTTTCTTAAGTGACATGAATAAACTTCAGGGGTACATGAAAGATTACTGGTTTACTCGCCAATAAACCATTTTAGCTGAATGACTGATTTAGGAAGAGAAATCCCAGCTGTTCCAACTGGACAAAATCAAGAAAAGAACACAATGGCCTGCCTATTCCAAATGTTCTACCCCAAGCATCAGAACAAGATTAAACATGCTGGTAAACAGATGGGACTCTGTTCCTTTTCTTCCTCCCTACTGCCACTGTTACCTACAGAGGAAAGATTCATAAGATTTGCAACAAACATGTCTAAATAAATACCTGGGACCTTATCAGAAGGTTTCACCAAAGGGGATTTTGTCTTGCTATGTGATGCAGTGTTAAAGAAAAAAGAAAACAAGGTCCTAATCCTTTTTCTGATGTGCCTAAAATAAATGAAAATTTGAGGATCTAGGAATAAGAGCCTAAGTTTATGATAAAAGTACTGAAATATTTGTGTGCCTGCTCTGGAACTTCTCAAGTTTTGCTGCTTTTGATTTTCTCTATAGAAGGGGGGGGGGGGTCCCCAAATAGCAAAATATAAACAAAAAATTGAACAGAGTTCAAAAAGACTGAGAATCATTCATACTGGGACAAAAGAACTAACATATCTGTATCTAACTTATCTATCTGCTAAGATTGTTATGAGAGTAAAATTATATTCTAATTTGGGGCTTATTCTCATTGAACTCAGTGTGGTTTGTTCCTGAATTAACATGCATAGGGCATGAAACTCCTTAGAAGAATAGATTTTTGTTAAAATGAATAAATAGTGTGATGCCTCAGCAACGCTATTGGTTAGGTTAAAACTAGTACAACTAGCTTTGCAGTATTGGATAAAAGGAAAAATATATGGGAAGCTTAATCTTGGCTTTTGTGCACAATGTCTGACATTGCAATATACATGGTCTGGAATGAATTTTTTCCTAAATCAGATTTGTTTCACCAAGGGAGATTTTTTTTACTTTACTCATTCCTGGCATCATGAGACACTCGAGTCTTCCTCGAAGTAAACATCTGGGTTTATTTTATTCAAAACAAAATTTTGATTCTATAGTGCACTACAAAAACAGTTTAGGTCATTTGGCTCTATCAGCAACTATTGGATATAATTTTGTAGGATGTCAACAAATCTGTGTAGCTTTGCACATTGAGAGAAGTCACTATGAGGGAAACATTTATGGCAATTTCACACATGCAGTGCATCCCGTTCCCACTTAAAAGCTATTTCTTTAAGCGTAGGCATCCTGTGATGATCATATCTGTCAAAGGCTTCAGCTGGTATTGTACTCAGCATATAATAAAGATGCCTTTAAGTGGCCTTTTGAGTTGGAGAGAAAAATCTACATTCCTCAGAATCAACGCGTGGTCTGAACACTGCAGGTTCAGTGCTATCTATTTATTTCTATCTAGATCACTACAAGGAGAACCATTAAAAGTATATCGGTCAGAACTCTCTCTCTAGAAACTCCTGCTTTGCATGTGTGCATTGGTGTACATCTCAACAGAGGAGTCTTGCAAACCTATACTACCAGATCTGGCTTTGTTCACTATTTACTTTGGGTCAACACTTATTCATAGAAAAGAATTTCCTTGGTGGAATATAAAGGTAGAGACTTATATTGCAGACAAGACCAAGTTCAAATGATTGAAGAAAGAATGTTGACAGAAATCCCACCTCCGCAAATCCGTATCACCACAATGTTTGCCTTGGTATTGCTGCATCAAATTAACTTTATATCTGATAAGGTCGAAACATAGAAAACAGATAAAAAATTATTCAGGATAAACCAAGAGATACTAACAACAACAGAACAAGAACGTTGTTGACAGTTGAACAATCTATACGCTATTTTAGATACCTAACTACTAAAATAAGTTTTCTAGTGAACAAAGAGAGAAAGTCTGAATTCTTAGTTATGTCTTTAGGGAAAAGTAGGTTGTGCAAATGCCTTCTTTATAGACCTCAGAAAACAGTAGTTTCACTCTTCTCTGCATGGGGAGGTCCCTGGGTTATAGAAGGCTTTGATCCAGTATTAGATATTTTCATGCCCTCCAGCCCTAAAGTAGTACTCAGACATGTTTAGCAATTAAGCTATTGTTTGGTTAACTAATTTTAATTGTTAAAAAAAAAGCATGAAAGAATTAGTCAAAACACCATGTTCATGTTTGCTCTGAAGAAGTTGTATTTGTGGAACAGATATTGTCTGAAGTACATCATAGATTGCATTAATACACTGGCACAAAATATGTGTTTACATTAAGGAAAAAAAACAGACATCTACATTTTATATGCACAATATCCAGTGCAAAATGTACACTGCTTCTAAATGAATAGATTATATATGCCACTAATGTGCAAGAGCAATTCCATAAACATTTCCAATCACACAGACAATCAAGGGAGTCTGATAGGCATAAATTTAATTAGTGCCTTGGAAATCTATCTGCTCTGTACTAAATGCTATCTAGTCATACTTTTTAAACCTGTGATTGAAGCGTGTGCCACTGTGTCAGCCAACATTTATCTGAGTGGCTTATAGGGAAATGTATTTTGAGCCAATCACAGTACAACAATCCATTAACATAACAGGCCTAAACTTCCAATATTTACAGATCCAAACTAATTCACTTATGGCAAGATATAATAAATTATCATTCTGACTTATAAATGCATAATTATCAAATGACATAATTAAAGCAAATGTTAAGAAATGACCTTTAGGAAAAATGAAGGGCGATTTATTTTTCCGCGCCCTTCTCTTCCACACGGTTGGCTCGGGACTCACCTGAACATAATGGGATAGTGTACAGGGTGATGTGATGGAGAGGAAGTTAATCAAAATTGTATGAAAGAGCTTCACACAAAACTAAATTTATGAAAACTCCATCTAACCAATTTAGGATGAGTCCAGCTTTAACTCACAGCTCTGTATCCTTCATCCCGTCCTGCTCCAGGCAGACTCTTCAGTAGGTAAAGAAAGGCAGCACTGGAGCAAGAGGGAATAAGAAAGTTTCATTCCATATGCTTCCACAGTTCCACATATGGGCTGCTGGCTGCTTCACACATTCGGCTAAGCATGGGTTGCTGAATAAATCAGAATCGCTTACGACACAGAAACCATCAACCATAGTTTATAATCCATAATGGCTTGATGGATATGTTACACTAAATCGAAATTACTCTGCACATACTATAGCTTAGCAAGATATTTGAAATCAGCCTTTGTCTCTTTTTACTCCAATTTGCAAGATTCCTTTACATTGCCAATGTATTTCTACAACAGAAGAAAATCTAATAATAGAGGACAATGTTTTGGTCCATTATTCTTCAAGTCATCCTCTTTAGTGGATAAAGTAGTATGGTTCCAATCTGGCAAGGAAGCACCTACAGATAACTTTGCCTTCCTCTAATTGATAATAGCAAGTTGGAAAACCTCTTCCGAGCACACACAAAAGCAAAATACCCTATTCCTGCTAAGAAGCCAGCCAAAAGGGTTGTGCCAAAAACTTTGGGTGCCCTCTTTTTCGCTACTCGAAATGCTGTTGGAAGAACTGCTGAGATTAGTATGTTGTTGACATGTCCCAAAACCTTATGAAATGCTTGTCTCTTCAAGACACGCTCATAATAGGCTTCCAAGTTAGGTCGTTTTCCATTTCCCCAACTTCTCCTTGCCAGTCCAATGAACTTCAGCCGATGGAGTGTTACAGCAAGGGATACATCAGCCAAGCTAAAAAATTCTCCGCAGAGCCAAGGCTGATGTCCATTTTCTGATATCAGAAATAAAGGCATAAATAATTAGAGAATAATAAAGTGCAATAGGATGCAAAAGATCCCTCAGGCTACGCACATGTGATTAATTTTTTTATTGTACGTATGTAACCTTTAGTTCCAGATGACTTCTTGCAATGGTTTAGCAAATAGCTTGCCTCAGGAGCATTGCCTGACTTGAAACAGCCTAAGGATTACTTATGGAATTATTGTTCAGCACTGCGAAATGAACAGAAAATGAGAGAGAACTGATTGCAAACAATTTCCTACCTGGCGTTTCTTCATTTCTTCTTTGCAACTCAGTCTCAACCTGATCCAAAACTTTTTCCAACTCATCCAGTATTTTCTGTAAGTACTTTATGTTATCATGATCCATCAGTTTAGACTAAAGGAAATAGATTATATGTTAGATTTCAAAAATGATTAGGAAAATTTCTCTTGAATACAGTGAATCTTAGCAAGCAATTATAAGACTCTGCTGAATGACACCATACTGTGCACAATTACAGAACCATCCCAGAACAAAAATGACATGTCTATAATCCCTTTTAAAATGGAGTTATTCCAGGTAGAAATGCATGCCATAACAATGACTGCTATTTCACATTAATATCATACACCAAGCAATCCTAGAATTCTGGATCTGTTTTGACTAGTTATATATATTCTGTTCTTACTTTGAGTCGTTTCTGCTTTGCTATATATGCGTCTTGCAGATCTGGGTTTTCTTCAGCAAGTTTCTTTAATTCAGATTCAGTATTACCTATCTGGCCTTGCAAAATAGCAATAAATCAGTTAAGGTTAATAATCAAATTTCATCAAACTTTCCAGTAAATGTTAAATAAAGCTTATAATGTTAAAATGTGTATAAATTTAACCAAATGTATGGATTTATAGTATCTTCTGTGCACAGTTCAGTGCACCGTCATCTGTGGTGCAAAGTTAATCCTGAAAATCAACTAAAATCTATTTGACAAGACCAAGTTGTTGTCTTTTTTTAAAAAAACCAATTTTGTTGGTTATTTCAGTAAGAACGTAACTTGATTTTTAATAAATATGAAGTTAGTAAAATAATTTAAATAAAAAAATTAAAAGGAGCTTAATAGAAAGCAAAAAGCAGCTGAGAAAATATACCTGCTTCAAAAAGCAAAGTCCATAACTGGTGCTATCCAAATTGTATTTTTATTTATTAATGTTGTTTTTAATTTAGATTTCCTGAATGTACCTTCAAAATCTGAGGCCTCAGTAGAAATGCACACTTATATTTCAAATACCATGATAATAGAAATTGACTGAATAGCAAAAAACTATATTTGCTGCACATAGTTGCTAGATTTTTAAATATAGGCTGCATTTAAAACACTGGTTTTAAGTATTTTGTTAGCTGCTTTAAATCTGTTTTAAGTACAAAAGGATAGATATATTTTAAATAAGCAAGTAAGGCACAGAATCCTTAAGAATCAAAAGATAAAAATATGCCATACAGGTGAACTATTGTATGTGTACTTGCAATAAAACGCATAGACAGTTTAAAAAATACAAGTGAATGTCCTTGGCTTAATATCAGACTGCCAGAATGAAGGGTCCATTCAAATGTATTGAACATTTGATCAAAATCAGTATTTGAACTCCACAGAAACCAGAGCACATAAAACACTTGTACGTACTACGAATTCTTGTTGTGGCATATGCAGGTATCATGGAGTCTACTGCTAATTCAGGATGTAAAATGCAGCCATGTGTATATGCATCCATAGGCAAGGAATCCAAGAGTTCTCTGTAGTGCTGAACCCTTGGATAATACATACTTCCTTCTTCTGGCATTAATCTTGGAGTTTTTTCTACACAGAAGAACACCCATAGATGAAGGTTAAGAAAAAACTAACAGCAGCTTTGTTTAGATATTTATAACCTCTTACCATTTCAGCCATTACATCAGAAAGTAAATGATAAAATCTCTTTTATCTATGATCTGATTGTAGATAAGAAGATGAACTAGTCAAGACAAGAGATTTGAGATAGGGTTAGTCTTTCTTTGCTTGGTCCTAATGAGAATTCATTCTTGAGCCTTCTTTATGACAGGGATAAACAGCCACTCTTCCCTTCCACCACAGCACCTTCTTAATGCCATACAGAAAAGCTTTTATTAGTTTATGGCAGTATTTCTCAACCTTGGCAACTTGAAGACATGTGGACTTCAACTACCAGAATTCCCCAGAACGTTTTTACTGAGACAGACCTGGTTAAGAGGAATTTATTTGATTTCTACCGAGACAGAACTGGTTAAGTTCTGTCTCGGTAGAAATCAAATAAATTCCTCAGGGGCTCACTAAGCATCATTCTCTAAGGACTGTCTGTATATATAGGGAACTTCCTTCTCATTTTTTGATTATATTTCATTTTTAAAGCTGTAGAATGTAAATAAAAGACATGGTAAACAGCACTTATTTCCTTCATCCTTGCCTTCATATTCAGCTGGGTCCAGGAAGTTACAAGGTGGATTGGGCCAAGCTCTTCTTAAAGAAAGCAGAAATCAATCCTAACTCCTGAAAAAAATCTAGATTACTGGCCCCAGATCTAAGAAAGTGTAGAAGCTGGTAAGTTTTACCCACTCTTGGATGAAACAGATTTTCTAAATCCTTTTTCATCAGGATTTAGCCTTGTTTTGGCAGTGACACTATTCTGAATAGGTTTCATCAGGTTGTAGAATCAGGGCTGATCTTATCTGTACTTGGAAATTAAACAAGATCTCTCCTGGTTAGTACTTGGATAGGAGTCTGTTGAAGAAGACAATGGCAAGCCATTTCGATACTTTTGCCAACTTCATGTCCCTGTACTCACCAGGAGTTATGACTTGGTTGCCCAGTACAATAATCTTTCCTTAGACAGAAGCAAGATAAATGGGACCCTGTTAATCCTCTCAAAGCCCTCAGCAACTTTCAATATTATTACTATTGTTGTTATTATTTATTTAAATTTGTTATAGATGCCCACTCCACTAGACTAATATTACTAGTTATGGTATCCTTTTGAGAGACTGCCTTAATCAGGTCTGGATAATTTTTGCTTGTTCTTACTTAGGTGCTTGTCTCCAGAAGGTAGTGCTGGTAGATTTCTGTTCAGATCCATGGAATATGTTTTGTAGGATTCCATAAAGTTCTATATTTTATCATTTAGCTTCATCCTATTGAATAATATTGGTATGCTTATGCCTTTAGTTAACAGCATCATATAAGAAATAGAGAAATCCTCCAACTTCCCAGAGAACCATTGCCAATTACAGTAAACAATACAGGTCAAGGCAGATTCCTATTCTTATAGAAAAGTTGAGGATAAAAAGATTTATATGTGTCTATACCCCACTCCAAAAACTTCCTTTCAAAGTATTTTTTTCTATGCCCTGCAAGAATAAAGCTGAAAATCATGTATCCCACCTGATCACTTTTTCACACTACAATCATTTGAGTAGGTAAATAAATTTGTATGAAGTAAGGTACATACATTAATGCATTGTTTTTAAAAAAGCACATAAGTACTCTAATTACCATTCACAAAAGTATCTTCAAGGTAGTCAATAATCTGAGTTGCATCACAAATTATGTTCTCTTTGTGAATGAGCACAGGGACTTCTCCTGATGCATTTAAACGCATAAACCAAGGCTCATTGTGTTCACTCAATGGAAGGCTTACATCATGCTCTTCACATTTCAACCCCTTTTCAGCAATCACCAGTCGCACCTGAAACAAATTGATGGACTTTCCTGTTATAGATCATGGGTGCTCCATTTTTTAAAAAAATAAATTATACAGTTTGTCACACATTGTACAGGGACTGCAGAGACTCACGTTCAAATCCAACCTGCTCCTAGGATAGTTGCTATGGGACATAATGGTAATAAATACCTAAATAAAATATGTTGCTGCTCCAGAGCAATAGTAAGAAAACCCACAGGAACATCATTTAATGTGAATATTATATATCAGCTCTTCCTATGATATTTTTCCCTCCAAGCTTCTTTGATCTCATTTGGTTGGTTGATTTTGTTACTGCCTGCTTTTCATTCCTTTATCTTGGGATGAGCCAAGCCCCAATTTTAAATGCACAAAATGTAACGATAATGGGAAAGGCTCTGGGCCTGTTTGTGAAGCTTCCTGGCCTAAGTCTTCAACCCTTTCAATATTTTTGATTCCTTCTTCTTTTAGGCACCCACTCAGAGCTGCTTTTAATACGATGCTTCAACCCCACAGGCCTAGAAGGCAGCTTCAAGGTGGGCTACGTGGGCAGAGGGAGCTGTCCAGGTTCTGAAATTCAACATTCCTGAAAGCAGATTAGACACTCACCTTTTGGGAACTGAAGGACTGTGTCCAGTGATACAGGATGAGTTTGGCCTCCGTCTTGTCATCCACTTCAGCTGGGGGTGCTTTGTCTGGCATCTGGTCCTCCTTTCCTTCTGCCATTTCACGTTTTTGTTCCTGTTCAATTCACTGCTCGGAGATTCTGCCCATGAGATTTGATTCTTTTTTTTTCTCTCCTCTGTTACTGAGTCTGCTCCGTGAACTGAGCATGCTCATTATTGGCAGATGAAGTTGCCTTCCTGATGTTGCCCTCACTTTCCCGTAGGGTTTTATGACACATAAAATAAAGAAGCCTGAAAATCTACCTACATGAAGAAAACAAATTTGAAAAAGGGAATCCTTTTTCCTGAATCTGTTCTCTAATTTGTAATAAATAAATATTCTAAGATACATTTAATTAATTCATACAAATAAAGTCCAAAGCAGTTTCTTTGGTTTCAGACTGGAATCTGAACTTAAACAATGCAGGACAATGGACTCAAATGGATATGCCTACCACATTTCAATAGCATATTAATATCTGCCTCAAAATGTGTATGAGGTACATGAACGTTATGTGTTTCCCATGCAATGTTTGTCTTTTAGTTCAACTTACCTTCATAGATAATTTTATAAACCTCCTGGGCCTTTCAGTGGCCCACAATTGTGTTCCATTGTAATTAACCTTGCCTTTGCTTCATAACAGTAGATGTGATACTATGTGAGGTATTTAAAAATGTATATTCCAAATTTTTTCCATGTAAGATTAAAGAAGTTTACTGGGGATCTTCTTTCACTTTTATTCATCCCGTGGCTCAGGCTAAACCTGAACACCTTAACCATATTTCAGCATGAATGTATGTTTAACTGGTTTCAAGAAAAAATACAGACTGCTGAAAGTGTCATGGAAATCACAAATACATTTTTGGAATCTAAGCTTCAGATCAGGATTGCATAAAAGTGCAGTTTCCCAAAGGTAAAAATTAATCATGCAAATATCCAAATAAGGGTTAGAGGTTTCATGCTAGAACATCAAATTAGCAATCTTCCTTAAGGTAATGTATAATAAAAATTGAAAGGTGTAATTAACTAGGGCAACATTATATTTAGAAAATTAAATTCTTTTAGAGTATTTTGATTACAGAATAAAAATAGATAAATATTTCAACTTATAGAATAATTAATTAAAAGAGTCACTTAAAAGCAAGAGGGTTTTGCCAATAAATGTCCACAGAAAAATAAATGTTTCTGGAAAAGCATCATATTCATTCAACTTGAAAAATTCTTAACCAGCTAAATTACTTAACCCTGAATGACCACAAGAGGTCTCCATAGTTCTAGAAATAGTGGGGAAACATTTCCTCAATTAAAAAGCTACATTTAGTTCCTATTTTCCTATTACTATTACAGTGGTACCTCGGTTCACAAACTTAATTCGTTCCACGATTCTGGTCGCAAACCGAATTGGTCGCGAACCGAATCAAATCATAAGGTTCAATGTAAATAAGGTTAATCCGTTCTGACCCCTACAAATGTGGTCAGGTGTGGCCAACCGATTTTGGTCGCCAAGCAAATCAAATTTTCCCATAAGGTTCAATGTAAATAAGGTTAATCCGTTCTGACCCCTACAAATGTGGTCAGGTGTGGCCAACCGATTTTGGTCGCCAAGCAAATCAAATTTTCCCATAAGGTTCAATGTAAATAAGGTTAATCCGATCTGAACCATATGTATTTT